GATGTCAAACTACATTTCAGAAATAGGTATCTTTATGTACAAGAATATATTTCAGTCCCTCTTGGCTCTAAAGTTCTAAGACACAGCAAACTTTAGTCAGCCTCTGGTGGTGTAACTCGAAGGCAACTCTCCACTCTGAGTATGTCACATTTCCAAAAAAAAAAAAATTAGGGTTAGAAAAATTGCAGTTGTAGCCCCAGCATTTAACCAGCCCGGGGAAAATTATAACTCTCAAGTCTCAAATATTTCGTTGGGAATAGTGGGAATAATACCACCTACTTTGCAAGGTTATTGAGAGGATTAAGTGAGACATTTCAAAGATGCCATGGCACTTTGTTGATACCCAGTAACTACCTTCCTTTTCCCGTGGAAACAACATTATATATGGTATAGATGCAAGCTAAGCAGTTTCCAGAGCAACTGAAGAAAATCCCATTTAACTCTCATCTACTTAGATCTAAGGCTAATAGAAGTCAGTCAGCGTCCCACAAACACAGATCCAGGAAACGTGCAAGCTAAAACACAAGCTTGCTCCTATGCTTGCAGAGAGGAGGGTGCAGTAAGGAGACAAATGAAAGCATGTGACGCTAGGTCAGCCTGGGGGCTGTGAGAGGGGCACTCCCGTGTGTGTGGGCGTGAGAAGGGGACTCGGGAAAGCCTTCCTTCCGGGCATGTATGTCATCCTACTTCTGGGTACTGCTCAAAAACCTGGGGCAAAGGTACAGAAATATGAATCTGGATAAGGTTTCAGAGAGTAATAAACTCTGACAGGACAGAAAAAAGTAAGAAAACCACAGGGAGAGAAGCAGCTGGGGGAAAACATGGGAGTCACATGGGTGAGGCAGATTTAGTGGGGAAGAACTCAGGGAGTCTTAATCTCTTGCTTGCGGCCATCCCAGAATTGCTCTGACAGCCTTAACTGGCAGAACTGAGCTTTTCCTTAGGGAAAGAAGGAATAAATACCACAAGAGAGTAAGGGAAGAGAGGGAGTGGGGAAGAATGAACCTCTGCTCCACAGTGGAGGGGGAATGACATTCCTGTGGGCACACCAGAAATGAGTTCATACTGTTTTTGTTCTTTATGCCTTTCCTTCTCTACAGCATGAAGCACCTTATTATCACAGTTCTGAGACAGATCCCTAGCCTGACTCTGTACTCCCCTCCCCAAACTTTCCTTTCTTAAAAATAACTCTATGAGGCCCTCCCTGGTGGGGCACCGGGTCAAAGCACCACAGCTGTTTCAGAGCGAGTTCGATCCCCAGCCCCGGAGGTGACCCACATGGCACGGCAGACCTCTCCTGTCTCGCCTGCTGCTCCCCTCAGCAGTGTACTTCGTTGATCTGCTTGTTTTGTTCCCCACTCTGCCTCTGGTGAATCCTCTCACCACCCATGTACCTCTGGTCTGTACCACTGTTATGCATGAATAAATAAATCTTAAAAAAATAAATAAATAGGCCCTCCCTGGTGGCGCATGGGTTAAAGCACAGCACTGAGAAGCTAAAGCCACTTCCGCATGAGTTCGATCCCCAACTACCCTGGAGGTGATCCACATGGCGTGGCAGACCTCTCCTGACCCGCCCACTGCTCCCCTCAGCAGTATACTTCATCGATCTGCCTGTTCTGCTCTCCACTCTGTCTCTGGTGAAGCCTCTCCCTGTCCCTGAGCCTCTGGCCTGTACCCCAGTTCTGTATGTACAAATAAATAAATTTTTAAAAAATAAATAAATAACTATGCAACATCACAGTTGACATTCTTAAAGCACTCTTTAATCTTAAACATTTTCCCACAACACGGGATCTATAAAGACCTAAATTACCTGCTGGATCAAGTTCATTCTTTAGTAATCAAGGCCTTAAGAACAATTCAAGTCAGCAAGTAATCAAAAGCCAACTATGTACAAAGACCTTGAAGGATATAAAGAAGTCCATTGGGGTGAAATATTTCATACATAAAAACATACAGAACATGGAAAAATTCATCAAGTGAAACTTTCAAGTGTGTCAAGTTCAGTTCCAAAAAGCAGGAGGAGATAAAAAGACAGATGGGTGGAGAGAACATTTTTTCAATTAGGTAGCAGCAAGAACAAAAAAATAGGCTATTTTCAAAAAAACAGCAGTCTTATGGCTGAAATGTTGACTTCCCTTCTCTTTCCCCAGTAGAGTGTGGTGCAGGCAATTTTAAGCCAGACTGCAGGATTCAAATCCTGTATGGATTTTGGAAAATAACATAACCACTCCATGTCTTCGTTTTTGCAACTATAAAAGAGCGTTAAGAGGGTCGCTGAGAATGAACTACGGTGTAATACTCTGGGAAGCCTGGTTTGCACATGGTAAACACTCAGTGAGTTGGGGGGGAGGGGAGGGTTGTTGGACAAGCCCCAAGGGGTTTCAGTCTCCCCTGAATGTTTTCCTTCATTGAACAGACCCTCATGGACAATTGGAGGCTCTGGGGCAGAGAAATTATGGAGTGAGCCTGGCAGCATGCAAGGTATATGATGCCAGCTTTGTGTAAAATGTACAAATACAAGTGAGTGACCATTTATAAAACATCTGCCCATTTATAAAATGTCTGTGTTGATGGGGAAAGGGCTTGAATTAGGGGAGTGGGAGCAGGTACAGAGGAGATCACCACAAAGGGAGGTTCTAGAGGAAGAAATGAAAGGATAGAATGGGGCAAGTTTTCTGACTGTAAACTAGAGTGTTAGTGTTCATACAAGCATCGGGAGGTGTTTACATGTGACCTTGATTCATGGTTTATCAGCTGTGTTTTGCATTCACCTCTCTCTTCCCAGGTCAGCAGTTCCTCAGCAATTGGAGCAGGGCACCCAGCTGCTATCCTCATACTATGGAAGTGGGCGCACCAAGCTCTCTGGAATACTCACCTATGTTCAAGAATGCCAGTGGCTCCACTTACCAAGTAAAGCCTTCCTTGGCTTGGTGAATATCATTTTAAGTTTGGTGGCATTAAATCTATGAATGATGAAACTGAAACTATGTCATGCTAATTCAGGTTCCTAGTAATTGCAACATCCTGGAACACACCCTACACAACACTTAGCCTCTTTTTCTTAATCTGAGCTTGCAGCTACATCAGCTGCTACCCCCAGGGAGTTACCACCAGCTAATGCACAATATACCACTTTTCTGTATTTGTAATTTGAAAAAGTGAACGCAAACACACAAGCCCATAAAATAGGACATCTTTTTTATGTTTTTATTGTTCATCCACTAATACCTGTGTTCCCTAAGTAGAACACAGGCTATTGTTCTCATCCACTGAGACTTAATATGCTAACTATATATTCCTGACTCTATAGAAATAATACACAAAAAAGCATAAATTTCAGAAACCTGAAGAAACTGTTTTCAGATCTATTTGTAAGCATGCATGGCAAAATGTGAAAGAAATGTTAAAAAGATCATCTCTAAATGATGGGATTATGAAAGATATATATACTTTCTTATTTTCAAATTTTCACAAGCACATAGTATTTTATAATCAGAAAAGTTCACTCTAAACTTGTAAAGCTTTACTGCACTAATTAAACTCTAAGGAACCTGAATAAATATGCCATGTCAAATCATTTCATGGTTACTCATTAATATAATTTAGGTAAGGTTATGTACTTGACATTGTACCTGCAAACAAATATACTCTGGCAAGGCACCAGAGGATGCTAACTAAGTCAAAAAGCCACAAAAATTTCACCTATGCTAAGGGACTTGCGTAACTAATTGCTTAACAAAGAATTTTCTAAGGGAAATTCTGAAAGCTTTCTGTTCCCTAGACAACTGGTGACTTTTTAGCCTATGTGCAAAATTCAGTAAAAGAACATTCATTACCTAATAATTCTCTTAAAAGACTGTAAGTGCTCCCAGTCATACTTCATGATGGTGTTTTGTTTGGACACTCAGTGTTAAGGAACACAATGGTGACCCTGTAACTGAGCTTCATATTCCCATTAAGAGACAGGAATGGGACAATATTCTTGACATTTTAAAGTGTAAATTAGTATTAAAAGTCACATAAAGCATTTTCATGCCCCTAGAGGACTGCACCACTGATAACATACCACTTTTCTCTTTATGGTCAGTTAATTTCCATGAGAGAGGCTTGTGTTGCTCATTTAACTATTAGTCCTACATCAATAAATGGGAATATGGGCAAAGGCAGTTTGGTGGAGGAAGAAAAAATTCTAAAAAAAATTATTTAAAAGGCCCTCCCTGGTGGCGCAGCGGGCTAAAGCACAGCACAAAGAAGCTTAAGCCACTTCTGCATGAGTTCAATCCCCGCCTGCCCCGGAGGTGACCACATGGCGTGGCAGACCTCTCCTGACCCGCCCGCTGCTCCCCTCAGCAGTGTACTTCATCGATCTGCCTGTTCTGTACCACACTCTGTCTCTGGTGAATCCTCTCACCCTCCACATCTCTGGCCTGTACCCCAGTTCTGTACGAATAAATAAATAAATCTTTAAAAAAATTATTTAAAATAAGAGATACAGAAAAGGAGGTAATTTCTATTAAACATCAATGTTTAAATTATGCATTTGTCCTTAATTCTCTCACATAAAAACTGTCCTGTGTTCCCATTAATCCTCAAATGAGCACCATTGTGTTAAAAACAAGAAGGGACAGCAAAATAAAAATTAATAATAATTTCCCATGTAACTCCTGCACCTGAAATCAAAAGCTGCTGAGGACCTAGTGCTGTAAGGCAAGAGCTACCAAAACAGGAAGTAGAGAGAAAAAGCAGCCAAATCCAAAAGAGATTGTTCCAGGAATTCTCAATACACACGTATCTATCACAAGGGTTATCTCCAGCCACAAGATCAAAGTTGGGAGAGACCTACTTCCTCCAAGATCTGTTTAAAAATAATATACAATATCACTTTATACATCATCACCATCTAGACTAATAGTACCTGGAGGTTAGAAGCAAGGTTTCCAGATTTAAATACTTACAGCTTTCAATAGCAGATAAGAGAGCTGTCTGAAACTCACCTGTGATGATGAGACCTCTGTCTGGGGTGAGCTGCTCCCTGCTCCAGACTCAGACATCAAATCCAGGCCAGATGTTGAGGAGAGTGTGGCTTTAGAAGTGGCAGCTTGGTCATGGGAAAGAGATGAGAAGGAAGGAGTAGGAGAGGGCTCCCGTTGCATGTCCTCTCCTTCTGCCTCTCTATCCTCGGCCACGCTGGAGGCAGGCTGGCTTGGCTCAGGTTTTTGCACAGAGGTGCCCACCACACTGCTTTGCAATCTCTTAATGCTTTCTAAAGTGCCATTGTACTTCCAGGAATCATCCATCTAAATAGGAGACATTTTAGACATCATATTCTTTATCCATCTCAATAGTAAAAACACCATTTTAAACTTTGTATTGTTAGCTCCATTTCTCTTTTTTAAATGTGCATGTATTTTAAAGGATAAGGGTTACCCATAGCTCCCTAAAAGCTGGGCATACATTATTTTACTCCACACTAGGAATGTCGACAATTAACTGATTAGGTAGTACACTCAGTGGTATTTAACATTTCTGTAATATGCAAAAAGACCACAGGAAAGAGCCATGTATCTTTAGAATTAGAACATTTTCTATAATAGATATTCCCAAAACATAGACTTGCTGGATCAAAATCACAATGAGATGTCACCTCATACATCTGAGAATAAGCCACACGAAAAAGACCAAAAGATAAGTATTGGCAAAAGTGTGGAGAGGAATAGTCTTCTTATATCTTTCATGGTAGAGGCAGACTTCAGACTGATCCGTCTCCTATGGGAAATAGTATGGAGGTGTCTCAAAAGGTTAAAAACAGATTTACCATTTGACCCAGCAATTCTATTCAAGATATGTACCTCAAAGCTCCAAACACACTATTCAAAGGAATGCAGGCTCTTCTGTCACTGCAGCACTGCTTACAATAGCTGAATTAGAGAAACCATCCTAGTGTCCAAAGACAGATGAGTGCATTTTAAAAAAAAAAAAAAAGTGAGACACACACCACCGTGGACACTATTCCGCTATCAAGAAAACGAACTCTTGCTATCTGCAAAAATTCTGCGGAACTGAAAAGGACTGTGCTCAGGGAAAAAGTCAGAAAGAGAAAGACAAATAGCGATGATCTCACTCCTGTGCAATACAGAGGAACAGAAAAAAAATAAAGCAGAGCAAACCTAGAAATCTGACTGCAGAATTAAGGCTACCAGAGGGGAAGGAGACGAGCTGGAGAACAAAGGGGCTTGGGCGCCATTCAACTAGAGCAGAAGGTTAGTGGTGCTTTGGGCTGGTGAACATGGACTGGCAATGTACATCTGAAGAGGTGTGAATCTATAAACCTAAATTATATAGTGTTTAAACCAACGTTTTCTCAATTTAAAAAAGGTAGATCAAAGAGTATGGATACTTATGTGTAGACATGCACATACACACCTGCTTTATACACATACATACATCTCATCTATTTATATCAATTTATGTCTCCTATAGACCTCAAAAAAGAAAAAACCCTGTAGCAATCCACTCTCCAAGGTGATATCAAAGAAGGCTGTTCCTTGGATATATGCCAACATCAGATATTCTGAATGTTTTAGATCTTTGTGAATCCCAAGGTACAAAGTTATAATGCATTGAGGCTGAACATGCTTCTGTATGCTTTAGGTTATCAGTTGCTTAAATTCCTTCCCCCTTGAACTAGCTTTTCATTTCTATGTCCATTTTTCTATGGTTTGTATTTTCCTAACCAGTTAATAGAAATCTTAGGGATGTTAACCTGAAACCTAAAATATATTTTACTAATATTTTTCTGAATCTATAAACTGTGGATTGGATTAATAATATCCGTCAACAGATTTGATATTTACATTGTTGGTATGTCTATATTTTATTTACTGTAATGGTCATGAATTTCCTGGACACTTTAGAGAGGTTTCTCGCACTTTGAATTTTAACCAAACTTTTGTGTTTCTAAGTTTTAGGATTCTACATTGGCAGTAGTAAAAGGAATTTGAACATTGATTTTACAATTCCATTAAGACAGTGGTATTAACTGTATAATACCCTATATAATTAAAATGAATATGCCACCTTTCGACTCCACATTCTATACTCTTAAAACTCCTGAAAATGGCCCTCCCTGGTGGCGCAGCGGGTTAAAGCACAGCAACTGAGAATCTAAAGCCGCTTCCGCATGAGTTTGATGCCCGCCTGCCCCGGAGGTGACCACATGGCGTGGCAGACCTCTCCTGACCCACCCGCTGCTCCCCTCAGCAGTGTACTTCGTAGATCTGCCTGTTCTGTTCCCCACTCTGTCTCTGGTGAAGCCTCTCACCGCCCCTGAGCCTCTGGCCTGTACCCCAGTTCTGTATGCACAAATAAATAAATCTTTAAAAAAAAAATCCTGAAAATATGAGAGACATTTTAAAAACTATATTAAAACATCTCAAGTTGCATGAAGTAGGAAAAATGTTAATTGTACAAAGCACCTGAAAATATTCAGCTGGAACCATGTACAATTGCTCTTTTATAGGTCAAAAACAACTCACTATTAACAATTTCATATTGCTCGTCCTAATCCCTCACAAAGCCTACATCTGAGACAACATGACTCTAAAAAATAATAAATGTTCTACCTCGAAGTGCATTTTATTCACTTTCTAAAATACATCAGCCTTACCTCCATTGAACTTAAAAGCATGCCTACTATATTTTAAACATAAAATTGTTAAATCTAAATTTGCTAAAATGAACTGTTACCTATACATTATGTACATTTTACCCATTACCTGTATAACTCAAACCTCCACATAAATTCACTGACTTTGTCCCTGAAACAGACTAAATGAGCTGGGGACATTTTTACCGTGTAGGATCTCGGGAGTGATGAGATTCTCCTTGACTGAGTGCCAAAAGGTCTCGGTGTGACCACAGATGTTAACCTGGCTGTATCAGTTCTCTGGTAAGTTCTGGGGAGAGAAGCTGAAACTCGAGTCGACTCCATTTGTGTGCTCTGTGACTGCTGAGAAGACAAAGGGGCTGAGTGTTGTTCCTCCACAGGGCTTGGAGAAGGAAGCTGAGTTTCAGCTCTCAGAGTGCCCTCCTCTTTTGCAAAACTTGAAAACTCTGGTTCAGGAACTTTTGTGGGATAACTTGTTTCTTCCTCTTCCACTCTCTCACTCTGGTCACTCGTTTCTGACATAGTCAATGTAGGGGTAAGATTTTCTTCATCCAATACATCATCACAGGAATGTATTCTTCTCCTGGATGTAACTGATGACATTTGATTTCGGGTGTCCCTTAGCAGAAAGAAAGGCACCAGAACCATACAATTATGCGTTTGACACAGAACGGCAGAGAGACAGGTGTGGGTATTTTTAAAATATAAAAATGGACTGGGTATTTTTAAAAAATATTGATTTCACAAATCAACACAGTAGTTACAGAATATGAGGATAATACATGATTTTATGGAGTTAGTAGGATTGTTTGATTTGTTTTGCCACACTCATTCTAAAAGCTCGAATTTTTTAAGAGGATCTCAAACACTGCAGCTCTTTTATAATTGTAAAGAGATTTTAAAGGGATTACTCACATTTTTATCTGCAAATTTATAACCCTTCCAAAATTAGCATACTGTAAATTTAACTAATCGACAACCAATTTAACCAAGATGTGGATTCATTGGTAGTGTTGTGAGCTTTATACCCTGTGCCCAGTTTATAATAATTTACTAAAAGTAAAAGACCAAGACTCAAGAAAAGAGCCAGGGTTCCTTTAAGACTGAGTTAGTATATGATTTCATACCCATAATAGAATTCCCAGATTATTGTTACTGTTGTCACCGCTAGTATTTATGGAGAAGTTGAGGAAACAGCCTCCCCTCTCCCATTCAGTAATGGTCAGAGTGCTGCATTTAAGTGAGTGAACCGTGTTTACCATAGGCTTCCTGGCCACAAAGGAGCTTTGTTTTTCACCTGACAGCACGTTCCCTTTCAGACATTATCCTTAAAGCATGTTTGCCTTCGCCCTAACCTGTAAATACCCTAAGGTTTCACATTGTAACTGCTCTGCTAGAATGTTTGAATTTGACCTTTATTTTCTCATAGTATGATGAAAAGAATAATCCCTCAGATTTACATAGACTTCCTTTTGTACCACAAAAACATGAAAAAGAACCTTACATTATATTTCAGACAATTTAGTCAAAAGTGGGAGCTGGTACCACTTGATCAATCCATCCCTAAACACACTTTAAAAGGAGAAAAACTGGCTTATTTTCTGCACCAAACATAGCCAATAGCACTCAAATCTGCATATAAACATACAGTATCAAATAAGAAATAATACACATCTAAGTACTCATTTCTCTGATAATCCAGGTCACTGTGACAGTAATAACTTGCTTTTCCCTACAGGAATTTTCATTCCCTACAGGAGTTTAATTTAAAGCACACTTTGTCATACCATACTACAAAGAACAGTTCTGCCCCGGGTGATCTCCAGCTCTGAGGTACATTCAGCCTGATTACCTGTCCTGCTGCATTTCCTTAAATGTCTTAGAGCTCTTCTCAGACTTCTCTAGCACCTGCTTTTCCATTTCTTCCCTCTCTTCTTTTTTCTTCTGCAGATCTGAAGTGTAGCTTTTTCGACGGCTTTTCCATTTTGCAAGGTCCTGACAGAAGAAAATCACATCAGCACAGGCCTACCTGAATTTCTGCACACCCTTTCCATGAGTGAGCATGCCAGAGTATCCTATTACATCGCTGAAACTATTCACTCCAACTTGATGCCAACGTGCCCTAATTTTGCTTTTTATAGCCAGCGTTTCTGTACCAAGGCTTTATCTCGTGTGTCTGTCGAAAAAACCTGACCTAGTAAGCTACACCCCATTTTTGTTTTCCCAGAAAGCGCCTGCCTTGCTGCCCATATCACAAAGAATGCTAAATGCTTGTAATTAGGTGTCAGGTCAGAAAGATCAGGAACTGTTTCAAATTCATTTTCATCTCACTCCAATAATCTGGCTGTTATGTACAATAGCAGTCTCACTGGGAAAGCTGAAACAGAGACTTGATTGTAATGGCTGAGTGTAAGAGGCTCACTCACTCTTTCTTTTAACCAACATAAACTCAATCCCAGACAGGAGCCACACAGAAAACGTGATGCAGTCCCCCTATGAAGAATTCTCAGTCTGGAGGGAAAGACAGAATTGTAAGTAAGGGTTCAACAATGAGTGAATAGGGTCACACAGAAGACAGGAGTTGGAGGCTGAGGGGTCCATGCCAGCCCGGGTAGGCGAGACCAGAATCAAGTATGTGACTTCAAAGCAGGGAAACTTCCTGCGAGGAATGTAAATCTAACCTCGGTGGGTGACCCCAGGGCAATCAACCTAATTCAGCTTTCAATTAAACATGCTAACTGCTTCTGACACCCAGGATTTAAGGCATTCTGGGTGATACAAACTTTTCTATTATCTCCCACACAGGGAAATTCCACGCTGGAAATAGCTAAAGGCATGCCAGTCAAAGCAGAAGCCTATTCAAGGTCTCACACCAAACTTAAGTTGGAATTATATCCTTTGGCTATAGACAAGGCCACTCTGAGACCATGACAAGCCTTTTCTAGAAGGGACAAAGGTAGAGTGTATGGTCCTTTAAGGACAACAAGCATGAGTTTTTGTCTAACAACCTATAGATAATCTCTATACTTAACTATCTTCATTCCCAAACATTTTGGGCTATTGACATTTCAGTACTATTTCATGACAATTGAGTCCCCAACTAAAAGAGGCACAGAAATTCAAAAATGTAACCAAGACTGAAGTTTTGTCTTCATTTTACTAACTTTTAATATTTCATCTCCTTCGAAAACTAAAATTTACTGCTCCTGGCTCTTCTGTTCATACTGGCAACTCTCTCTCCATAAAGTTCTCCTCATGCTCCTTTGGGTTTGCTCCGTATAGTTTAATTCTTTACAGCCCTTTGGTTTATAACAGTTGTCTCTTTTTTAGAAGGTCAAGCATTTTTTTCCTCCATGGAAAAAGGAAAGATTAAGTCCACATATATACAGTTATCTAGATAGATACTAGCTCTGAAATCATGCAATTTTGATTAAAATTAAATGATTACTTTTCAATGATTCGTGTTATATTTCTTATTCTCTCCAAATATTTAAAGCTAAAAGCCCTTTTCATCTTTCTCTACTGATGTCAAATTCTGTACGCTCCCTAAACTTTGAACAGGTTTCACAGCCACAAAATTCACAGCTCAAAATTCAGCCACCAAGCAAGGAAACAAATTAACTGTCTTACAAAGAAGCAACTTTATAGTTCGCAGGACTCACAGAATATTCAAAAATGCTCAATTACATTTTTCACTATGGTTATTAAAAACAGCATGGGTTCATGGGTCAATAAGGTTTAAAAATCTTGTCAAGGCTGGTTGCACAATGGGTTGGGATGCAGCACTTCAAGCTGGCCACAGTCACTTCACTGCAGTTCGATCCCCGGCCCCAGAGGTGACCCACATGATGCAGCAGACCTCTCCTGACTTGCCCGCTGCTCCCCTCAGCAGTGTACTCTGTCGATCTGCTTGTTCTGCTCCCCACTTTGTCTCTGGGGAATCCTCTCACCACCCCTGCTACTCTGGCCTGTAGCGCAGTTCTGTATGCATAAATAAATAGATCTTTAAAAAAAAAATCATTAAATAAAAAAAAAAATCCTGTCAAGGAAATGATCACATTTTCTACAGAACTAAATTCAGTAATAGAAAAGTCTCAAGGGTACTGACTGGGAAAAGCCAAGAAGAGTCAACAAGCCTCCCCAGTCTTGCCATCCCCCAACCCAGAGAATACTCACATCTTGCCACTTCTGATCTTGTTCTGTTAGTTGCGATTTAATTTTCTGCATCTCCTCATAACGCAGCTGACGCAGATTCTGCACATCCTCAGCAGTGACATCGCTCATGGACTTGCTCCTGCAGCAAAGACACCCACAGCAATTGAGATTCAGTGGCCAGGTTCAGGGTGCAGGCTGGCAGATTGGACTTCGATTTGGAAAATACATCTAAGTTTCTGCAGTACTACCTAGGCGTTTTTGTGATACCATCAAAGAAATAGTACTACAGAGATAAATGGTGTTTTTCCAAAATGCAGAAACAAGAGCCTGGCACTCAAGTGTGAATTCTTCCAGAAAAGGGCTAGATGAACCCTGTACACATCTGAAATCAGTAACCAGTGTTCACATTTGGAGTGGCCCTGGATCAAAGGGCCTTACTTTAGAAAGAAATAACTATTAGCCAACTAGAATCATCTGCCTTTATTTTTATACGCCCCCTAAAGACTATCTTTTAAGGTTCGGCTACCTTTTCTAGACACTTATTAAATAATTTAATGATTACCTGATATTTTCTCCTCAAGTTCAATACTGTGAGTGAATGTGCGACTATTTCTCAAAGACTCTGTAAGCTCTGCCCCAACCCCACTGGGCTTATTCTCAAGCCCCACGGTAGTATCAGTAGACAGTTGGAACAACCTTCAGAGTCTGCTTTTTATGAAGGAAGATTTCATGTCTCCAGTGTGTAACCACCACCCCCCATGTATGTATTGAGGATTAGCTCTCCGATAACTCAAACTAGAGTAGACGCCAGTGGGGTTTAGGGGAGAGTGTCAATATGCAGGACATTTTGCTGTGTATGTGCACAGAGAACATGGTGAGCTACACTGAAGAAGAGGGGGCTCTTCAGAAAGGGAGGAGTCAGATCTGAAAGTTTCAGAGCAAGTATAAAAGACAGAGAGGGCACTTCTGAAGCTGGTATGTCCAAAAAACTCCTTCCTCCAGCTCTCCCATAATACCCATCTGATTTTATTTCACTGTAACTAATGCTACTTGAAGTAACAGACAACTGTACATCTCCTTGGGCCCCTAAACCTCGCCTTCCAAGGTTCTGTCATTGCCACAGTTCTTTTAGAAGATGCTTCTCTTTATTTAGCACAAGAATTCAATTCTATTATAAGCTCTATGTAAATGACACCCAAATCCGCAGCTAGGAGCAGTTCTTGGTTTGACTCCTTTCCAATTTCTTGTTGAATAAACATTTCTGCATGGATATCCCTTAGGTGCCTCAAGTATAAAAGGGAAAAACAAATTGAAATAACATCTAGAGAGAATTTTGTAAACTAACTCACCAAACACGTGGTTATTGTTGATGTAGCCACACTGAATTTTGTCCCCAAACCTGCTTTTCCTCTTGTGACTGTTCATGGTGTTACTTGTCCTCCAATCATTCACATTTGAAACCTAAGAACTATTTTTCACCTTTGCCTCTCTCTACCTTCAATTAGTTATCCAGTCTTCTTATTCAGTGTCTTTTTCTTTCCATTTCTATTGCCAACACCCTAGATCAGAGCACCGTCACCCCTTACCTAGAGCTTTAAAATAGCTTTTTGAGCCATCACCCAGCTGGTAATCTAGTGAAGGTTTTTCCTCAATTGTTCCCTCCAACTCAGAAATGCTTCACCAGTGTATACCCACTTGAAAATGCCACTCACTCCTCAGCAGCACTAATACTAATCTGTACTAATCTCTGGCCGGGTGCTGCAAACTTCCTCCTCATTTTGCATCTGGGAGTCTAGCAGGTGACACAAACTTGTCATAGACCAAAAACATTCTCAGTCCTCTCATCTTTATCACAATGAAAACCAACTCCATCTTTCTAGACTTTAGGCCAAAAATCTTCAAGACTCTCTCTCCTATAGCATAACTGATCCATCAGTGAAGCCTGTACTCACACTTCTATATAGATCCAGTATGTACATGTTCTGCCCACCACCTCAAGGCCTCCTCCACTACCACTGAGACAACAGCATCATGTCTCCTGCCAGGGTATCACAGGAACACCCAGAGACACCTTTTCAAAAATTACACTCTGACCTCAGAGTCCTCGCCTCAGCACCCACTGGTTTCTTCATTTCATTCAGCGACGACTTAAAAGCGGGTTCTTCCAAGTCCTAGAAGGTCTAGAAACATTACCTGACCCCTTCATAACTCTCAGCTCATCTCCCATCATATCCCCCTTCCTCCCCTCTGCTCCAGTCCACTGGTTGCCTTGCTCATGCTCAGCCCCCTGCTTCTCAACCTGCTCTGCCTGGAATATTCTTCAAATATCTGCAAGTCTCACTGCTCGCTCACTTCCAGTCATCTGCTTAAACATTACCACAGTGTTTGCATCCCATCCAGTGAGAAACAGCAAATGTCCTGGCCACAGCTTACTTATCCTTATCTTTCTCCATATTTTTTTTTTTTTAAAGATTTGGGCCCTCCCTGGTGGCGCAGCGGGTTAAGGCACAGCACAAAGAAGCTTAAGTCACTTCCGCATGAGTTCGATTCCCGCGTGCCCTGGAGGAGATCCACATGGCGCGACAGACCTCTCCTGGCCCGCCCGCTGCTCCCCTCAGCAGTGTACTTCGTCGATCTGCCTGTTCTGCACCCCACTCTGTCTCTGGTGAAGCCTCTCACCCTCCGCATCTCTGGCCTGTACCCCAGTTCTGTACAAATAAATAAATAAACCTTAAAAAAAAAGATTTTTGCATACAGAACTGGGGTACAGGCCAGAGGCTCAGGGGCGGCAAGAAGCTTCACCAGAGAAAGAGTGGGGAGCAGAACAGGCAGATCGACGAAGTACACTGCTGAGGGGAGCAGTGGGCAGGTCAGGAGAGGTCTGCCACGCCATGTGGTCACCTCTGGGGCAGGCGGGAATCAAACTCATGCGGAAGTGGCTTTAGCCTCTTAGTGCTGTGCTTTAACCCGCTGCACCACCAGGGAGGGCCTCTCCATATTATTTATTGCTAGCTGAAAGGTATGGTTACTTCCCATCTGCCTCATCCTCTATGACTAACAGGAATTTGGTCTGATTTGTTTGCCGCTGTACCATCTGTGCCTATAAGTACCTGGCTCCTGCTAGAGCTCATAAATGTATTAGTGATCAGATAATGTTCTGTACTTGGATGAAGTCCTCCTAGCTTTTCTGTGACTTCCCTCAAGCTTACTAGAGCTTCAGCCGCACAGTTCTCACGGTATGGAGCACTCCTCCCTATGGGGGAGAGCACACACGTGTGCTTGTGTGGCTTAGTTTCCTCACGAGTTTAAGTCCTAGCTGGAAGAAAAACACATCAACATAGAACAAGGCATGTATGAAGCTTTATATAATTTACTGACTAAGGAGCTATATCCAGAATATATGTGAGTACACAAAGTCATTCATTAGGTTTAGTAACGCAGCCTGTACCTAACCTGCTCTGACTAAACAAAAATTGATTTATGCGAGTTTCAGAATAAATGTGTCGAAGGTATAAAAAGAATCAGGCTATCTGAACTCTAACAGAATCACTAAAAAGAGGCAAGAAAAAAATTTTTAAGACCAAGGCATGAGGGGAATCTAGATACCACCCAGCATATGAGGTTACATAAACTCCAGGACAAAAAATGGAAATGCTGTTATTTTAATAACCTCTTGGGGAGGAGAGGACAGACCTGAATAACACAACTGGTGCAGACTCAAGAGTGTTTGTAGGCCTCATTCCCCTGCATTATAAACCTCACCATGAGTGAGTTCAGTAAGTTGGTCATCAAAGGCAGAAGCTGCACTGTTGCCCAAGGGAACCCCACCATGCAGCCTGGTATGAGAGGTTTCTGGAATGAAAGAAGTGAGCCAAACACTGTCTGGAGTAGGAACACGGACTCCTTTTGTCCCCTAGGGCACACAGAGTTACCGATACACTGAGCACATCCCATACAGCTGAGCCCAACCCCAGAATCATTTAGGAGGTAAGGGCCCCAAGCCTGGTAGTGGCACCAACTTACCACCAGCTAAGTTCTTTGAACCTTGATTCCTCATCTGCTAAGTGAGGCAGGGGTACTTAGGAGAAATGAGTAAACTTATGTCCATTGAATTTCAATCATTTGGCATTAGACACCAAATTTTCTTTAGACAAACACGATCGTGAAGATCTCCCAAAAGCTAACCCTCAGAGAATTTCAAATCAGAAAGGTCACTCAAGGTCATTTTATCCTAGCGATAAAATCTACAAAGTCTGGAGTAGTTTTTCAGTCAGGTCATACAGGACTCTCTCCTTCCTTATCATAGTTATTAGCATGATATTAAATGTCTGAGGACTTTGTATTTGCCAAACGCGCTGCCATGCAGTCTGCACGGACTGTCTTGGACAAAGCCCCAGTCCAAGTCTACCACTCACTAACTATGTCTTTCTCCATGTCTCTAAGATACATATAATACCTACCTGTCTGCCTCACAGACTGGATAAGCAACAAAAGGCCAGGAAAAGTAGGCAGACTCAAAGCAAAACCCAGCTCTACTGTATTCTGTTGCATGAAGTCCTATTCACTAGCAATTCACAATTCCCTTAGAGTTCATTCACCTGCTACTTTTGCATTTTCTTATTTGGAAAGACTCCAATTTAAAACTGCATTTGGATTTTCCCCCCAAAATACATATCTAGCATGATGCATTTCCAGATTTTTTTAAAAACAGCACTTAGAGTGATGAGAAGGGAAAAAGTGTAAGGAAGAAAGGAGAGACGACAAAAGGAGATCACTACAGTGTGGGCCACGTGGCAGAGGAGTGTTGGCTGGTGTTCTGATGTGTATTATTTAGAACTCAACTTCAGGAAACTTAAAGATCAGTATTTCAGTATCAAAAATAACCAATATGTATCACTGACAGGATTGTGGAGTGTCTATTTGTTATATGGGCTAAGTTTGGGGTCCCCAACTAGCAGAGGGTGCCATGAACATATTTTTTATATACTTTAAATGCATTTTCATGAGCTACTATGGGAATTCTCTGAAATCAATACAAAAGCCCAAAGAAGAGGTGCTAGATTTACCATACAATAGAATGATGAGACTATCATAAAAACTTCCCATTTATAAGGTTTAAATAGGGTTTCTCTATAGCAGCCTGATTGCCATTTTGGGAGAAGACAATTACTTGTTGTGTATTTGAAGCCATTTAGCAGCATCCCTAACTACATGCCAGTAGTAAGCCCACCCACCCTCTCAGCAGTGTGTATCTGCAGACACTGCTGAATAGCCTTTGGGGGCAAAATCCTCAAAAAGAAACTTACATCAACTTTATTTGCCCTTTCCTTTTGTCATCTACAAGTCCTTATAGTTCTGCAGAAGCTTTTGGCTAAACCTCTAAGTGATATGTAGTTTTCTTACTAGTCTTTGATTATAACGTCCCCTTGAATCAGGGCTCATTTCCTGTTGTTACTGGCAGCAGATTCAATGGCTTAGTCATATAACAAAATGTTGTATAACCGTGAAACAAATGTTTCTTTGTCATTAACAATTTCTGCCAAGAGGTATAATAACCAAGTTTTCAAATGTCATGGAACCATGCAGATATAAATTCATGCAACACAAAAGCATACATGTGCACATACAAAGCATCCTAACAATAAACAAACAGAGATGTTAGATATGAAATAAAAAGCAAGCCAGACTAAGACTGCAAAAGTAGAATACATTTCTTTGAAGCACCAAAGAAAGCACTCATATTATAGGCAGTTATTCTTCAATGATAGGACACTGAGTAATAATCATTTTCTAAATAAGTATTCTAAGTTTGGTAACATATGTCATGGCCAGAGAAATATCACCTAGAAATCATTTGTTTTTTTTTGTTTGTTTGTTTGTTTTTTAAAGATTTATTTATTTATTCATATAGAACTGGGGTACAGGCCAGAGATGTGGAGGGTGAGAGAATTCACCAGAGACAGAGTGGGGAGCAGAACAGGCAGATCGACGAAGTACACTGCTGAGGGGAGCAGCGGGCGGGTCAGGAGATGTCTGCCACGCCATGTGGTCACCTCCGGGGCAGGCGGGAATCGAACTCATGAGGAAGTGGCTTTTAGATTCTCAGTGCGGTGCTTTAACCCGCTGCGCCACTGGGGAGGGCCTCATTTGTTTTTTTAATATGAGAAAATTCTGAATTAAAAAAAAAATTCATTTAACCCAACTTAAATTGTTGTTTTTATCGCATCAGATCTACTTATGAATAGATTGTTTCATTGCATTGGATCTATTTATGAATACTGGTAACAGAGTACAGAACAGAATCTGACAGAATTTGACTGCAAGTGGTCTAAAATGCACTTGAGTCTTCTGAAGTCACTTATGTCTTACTTTTCATTTAAAAACCATTCACTATTTGTCACTCTAAATTTACAATCTTTGCTTTAGTGTGTTGTTACCTTGACACTAAATTGTACCCAAATAGCCTATAAAAAATTACCATTATACAAGCAATAATCTTGAAATATTCTACAGAAGTCATTTGCTGAAGCTAGTCCAGGAAAATTAGTATTAAGTTAAATTTGGCCATTGAGTTTCTCTGTAACCTAGCCACACAAATGTGTCACTAAGAGGGGCATATCAGTCACTGAAAGAGTTGCACACATTTACATTGCCTCATCTTCGGGATACCTACGTTTTCTTCAAGAAAAACAACTGCTTACTTTATTAAGTTGTTCAATTTTGAACAAAATCTTCTGAGGCCTTTTATCATTCAAAAATGCTTGAAGTTGCAAAGGTATTTTTTCATCAAGTTCAAACAGCTTTCCCATGATGAATGGAGATTAGAAGATGAGTAAGCATCATGCCAAAGCTGCCCCTTTACTCACCAGTGAAAATACTTGAAGCACATGTGGAATTGGAAAAACATGCAGGTAGCCTGATTCTTAAAATCAGTACCTGAGAAATATTTTAAATGAATTGCCAATGAACTACACCTCGAATGGTTAATGTGCTTTGAATATCAATAGTAATTTTAGCAATTTCCATGATTTCTATCAAACTACCAAAATTATTAAAAGCTGTCAAAATCAGAGAATCTCCAAACTATACAGTCCTCACAACAATATTGGAAACTACCAAGATTTTAATTTTTGCCCTTTTGAAAGACTGGTTTGATTCTACAGCACAGTCCTGTTCTACTTTTTCCACCTCGTCAGGAATCTTGAAAATATTTCAAATCTTACTAAGGGAATGATGAAAGCATCTCAAGAGCTAAGAGCATACAGATAATTCCACCTGCATACATTCCAAACTCTAAATACACTCATGCTTTCTCCATCACTGATTGCCTAAATTGTAAACCTTTTGGGATTCAACAACCAAAAAAAAAATCAGAATTTTAATTTATGAAGCAAAATAATTACCTTCTCTTAGGCAAGTGTTTTGTTACTTTTATTCAACTCCTTAAATTTAAGATTTCTAGTAAAACTCTTGCTGTCATATAGCACTTCATGCTTTGGGCATTCAGACACAGAAATGTTATCATAAGTTTGCAATATTAAGAAGAAATTCCCATTTTTAAATTTCATGCACAGCACACAAGATCCCCATTTAGTGACATGCCAAGAGAGAAGTGCAGTGACACATCGCACAAATGACAGACAATATGCAGTTTTTAATTGGGAACTGCAAAACTTACCCATTCTCACCATAAATCTTTTGAAAGAGTCTGAGAAACCAGAAAATCAAAAAATGAAAAGAAGTCATTTTTTCCAACTACGTTTGTTTCAAAATGGTCAATATCTTTAACTTTTACTAGAGATGGACAAATCTCAAAAGGTTGCCTCTTCTGTTACACTCATCATGTCTCAAATACTCGTTGGTCTCATCTCAAGGAATTCAGATTAAGCAAGATAAATGGCTTCCTGATTTACCTTGAACCAATGAATCCATAACAAAATGCTTCCTGTTGCCAGGAACAAAGAATAAGTTATATTTGGATCTAGTAGTTTGATTCAACCTAATCATATTTGTCCACCTCAAAGTTCAACAAACTGCACATTCATCAAAACATCAAATAGCACAACACTTAATATGCTGAATCCTTATTATCAAAGTGACTATAACTACATATGAGTTTTAACAGACAGCATCTAACATTCATGCATTTTAATATTTTCATTGAACTTTAAATTTGAAAAACACATCGATAGTCCAAGAAATCTAGGACAAAACCAAAAATCAAAATCAATGTAAATTAAATTTGCAATGCCATATTTTAAGGGAAATCATATACTCCAAAATATGAGAAACACATTAAAAACCAAATTATAACCAGACTCTATCATAAACGCCTGGACATGAGAAAAAAGATTAAATTGGAAAATATTTCATGAGACATGTTGCAGGACAGTACCATCGGCTTCTCAAGGCCAGAGGCAAAGTCTGTGGCTTTACCATCCCAAACAGGCCTCAGACAGACAACTTAAGAGGTGTGCCAATATGGAATTGCACCTTCTCCATGAAATGACTGTTTCTCCAAGCAAAATAAATGTTTACAGGCTGCTTCAAAATGGCCCATGACATGCAGAACTGGGCAACACGATGCCACTTTCTCATACAAATTACACAGACCATCCAGGACAAGCAAAATCCTTGCAGAAACACACTCTGACCTCTCGACCATCAGCCGTTTCTTATGCCTAAGCCTGCTGGCCTCCCGGATGGCCTCCCACTTGCGAAAGTCAGCCTCACTGCAAGGGCCGGGCATGAAACTGACAGCAGGCACAGAGGTCCCCAGGGTCCAAGACTGGATCTTTCGTGTCCACATGTCATCCTTCTTCTGCCGAAGGGAGGGGACCAGTACTCTACAGTTACTACCTTTTTCTTTGGGTGGGTGCGTCCTTTCAAGTACACAGAGAAACTTGGCTTGAATTTCTGGCGGAAGGGTCCAGGGATCAGGGAAAGGGACCGGTTGGTATCTGTCTGGGGCTCCGGACAGAGGCACTTCTTTCTTTTGCGCTGGAATTCGGCGAATGATCATATCATCTTTTTCTAAATCTGGAAGTACAAGTTCACCTTCTCTATACTGCAAAATTATGTCTCGCTCTACAGGATCCTCTTGCTCAGAAAACCTTCTGAAGTCTTCAAAAGCTCGGAGAACACATGGATTGGCGTGGAAAGCCCCAGTCTTTCTGACAAAGAAATCGTCATTCTCTAAGTCAGGATCCAGGGCTGACGTTTCGGGGTCATCTCTTCTAAACCCTGATGTGTAAGAGAGATTCTTTCTACGTGTGATGAGCCTTGGGCCAGAAGTGGGGTCAATTTTGGTATTTGATTCGGAAGACAAGATGTCATCAGAGTATGTTTGGAGGGCCTGGAGTAATAAAAACTGACTGAAGCATAGAAAAGAAAAGGAAGGGAGAATCTTATTAAGTTGGGGAGATAAGGTTAGCAGACTGACAAGCCAGATTTTGCAGGTGAAGCATTTTAGGGGATCATGCGAGGGACTCTGGAAGAAAGCCTTGGGTTCAGTGTCATTACCAATGAGAGTCCAGTAGATCATTTAGAGTAGAGTGTATATGTCACCACTAGGACAGGTAATGGGCTTAAAAGTACACACACTGCACCTGGCATATCCTCACACTCCCTTTAATTACAAAGACCTATCTGTCTTCCAGAGAAACAGCAACAATCTTGGCCAGTTTCAAGAGTCAGGCCTCAAGCACTATCTACAATGGGCACAGGGAGTCATGGAATTTTTAGAATAAAAATGCTCTTAAACTTTACAGAAGTCCCTGATGAATTTTTTTTTTTTTTCTGTACTTTCCCAGTAGGCTTTGCCATGCCCATCCTAAAAGTCATTTCCTTTCTCCACATCTCCACACACAGCATAACAATAAAGTTAGGTCAAATTTCTAAAAAGTCTTTTAGAATTGGTTTTCTTAAAAAATAAATAAATAAATAAAAATGTTACATGCAACTAGAAATGGTCTTGTCCATAATTGCGCTGAAGAATATTTAAGCCTTCCAAATTCTCAGCTTACATGCTCGGCCAGAAAGCATTATGCTATATATTATGTTTCTGTACTAAATATTAGAAGAATATGATTTCAGGATTCAGCGTGCATGGTCAGAAGTTAATGTAGCAGCTGAAGCTGTACAGGTGTGGCAGGCCAGGCTCCAAGGCAGGCAGGCTCATGCGGGCAGGTACACCTGGGCTCATCCGAAGCACCGCTGGTCCTCCTGGCTGCGTGCATGTCCCATGAGTCTCTGGCCCGGGTAGCCATTTCCAGCAAGAGGGAACGTCTTTGGCGGTTGCTTTCTAGCCTACCTTCTGTTTTTCGTGTTTTACTAAAAATGGCGGAGCCTAAATCCTCATCACCAAAGTCTGAATTCCTTCTACTGTGAAGTGATGCAAAGGAAGGAAGGAGGAAAGGAAACAAAGGATTGGAAACAAATACAAGTACTAAAAGTAATGAGAAGCTATGTCTAATAAGAAGGGGGATTCTTAACAGCCAGATCCTGAAGTTTCTGTTTAAACAATCGCCTCTTTTTCAGTTACCAAGATGCTACAGATGTTGGAGGAAGAAATTAACTTTTGTCTCTCTGATAAATGCGCACACAGAACGCACCCGGCAGGGTACTGAAGAAATGCCAGAGTAACAGAAACATGCAGAGACAAACCTGAATCCCTGAAATTCTTTATACCAAGGCTTATAAGTTTCCCTTTTTATTCTTTTCCAGTTCACATCTTCTGGTATCCAACATTTAGGAAGAAACTGATCAAAAGCATTCCCTGTGGTTGGCAAAATTGGACTTAGCTTTCGCACATAAAGATCATCCTTCACAGTGTTGGGTATACTTGTCTTCTCTTCCACTTCCAAGTAATAAGCAGATTTTGAAGTTACGTGTACTGATGGCCAGTTTTCCAAGTGTGTGCCCTCAGTTCTCTTCTTGTTACTGTTCAAAACATCCAACCAGTTAATACACTCTATGAGCAATTCGTGACACAGAACACAAAAGGCATGCGTCCGGGCTCAAAAAGTGTACACGACTGTAAATGAAGCAAATTAGTTCCCATTCCCATCATCACAGGTCCCAGAACAAAGTTTCAGCATTATAATACCATTTCATTTTCATTAGAGAATAATTTTCACACACAAGTTTCAAAGATACTGTTGTGTAAGAGGTGTGAAGAGGCAAATTGCTCACAATTCAGTGTTGCTATATGTATTAAAATCAACTATCAGCAGGCATACTTGGAGAAATTTTTCTGATCTCATCAGTTCTTACAACCTAGTGGGTCATCAGAAGGAAATATTTGTGAACCAGAGTTAGAAAAGATGGTTTTGATATGAAGACTCTCAACTCTTCTTTTTCACTCAAAATCTATAACCGGCTAAGTCAACCCCAAACTATAAAAGGCAACCTCCATTCATCCTCAAATCCCAATCTACTTTTAGAATCCCATATCTCCTTCTGACAGGTATGTGAAAAATCACATTCTGCTCTGCTAATCTGATGGCAAATGAAGGGTTTCTTTTTGTGTCCCCTGAGATCAATCAAGAGAGAAAAAAAAAGACAGAATAACACAGCAGAGCTCACAGTAGATAACAGAAGTCATCCAGTAAAAGTTGAAAGATACCAATAAGCTAAAGGCATGCATCTAAAAAAAGAACTAACAGATCATATGCTGACATTCTAAAACTGAAGAGTTATCTTCAAGATAGGCATAGCTAAAAATAGAGGTAAGGGTAAAAATTAGTGACATTTAACATAGTATCTATGTAAGTAATATTTTATAACCATTCCTTGTACCAAAATTTAAATAACCCAGCACATTCATAAAACATTTTAAAACTCAATGATCAGCTCACACCCAGTACCTTGGAAATGCTCCATCTGCATCTGTGTAGCTTGGGTTTGCCCAGCTTCTTCGGTTATCCTCATTTTTGTCTGGCTTTTTCTTCCTCAAGGGTGCTGGCATGTAGGATGGCTGTCTACTCTTGTTGGGTAAAAAACGATTGAATGGTAAAGCAGACTTTGGTTCAATAGCTGAAATCCTTCGATAGGACATATCATCTTTATTATAATCCTGCATTTTGAATGTAAATTCAGAATCTGTGTCACTTTCAAAACCTATAAAAAAGGCACAAGAATGTGCTTTACTCTCCAGATCATTCGTCTAAATGAAGCCCACAGGGCATACCCGCTTTGTCTTTCCCTTGGAAACCCAGTGCTCTACTGCTAACTGCAGGAAATATTTTTAGAACTTGTCGTGAAGTTGTGATAAGATCCATTAGGAGGAAATTGCTTTGCATACTGAAGGCACATGAGGTACAATCTTTCACTGTTGCACACTCTGCACAGAAAAAAAAAAAATTATGACTAAATCCCTGTTGTTCAATGTCCCCAGACCTAAGTTTTTGTCAATAACATATACTGATGAAATACTAGTAAATAAAATCTAGCTATGAGTTTAAAGATACTTAAAGCAAGATAGGAAGGAAACTCTAGGGAAACTCAGTAATTTAAAATAAAGCATGCAGTCATCAACAATTTCTGTGAGAGCAAAGATAAGGGACTACATAGGAAGAGAAGCAAAAGTCCAAGATCACAAAAGGTCTGGTAGATCTTGGAAGCAAGAATCTGCCTGTATGTTAAAATCCCGCATTAGATGGGAGGTTGAACCAAATGACTTGTGAAGTACCAAAGGAATATCAAGTCTCAGTCCTAAATGAGAAGTCAGAACTTGGGGCTGTCTCAGAGGGTGTTCTGGACATTATATTGGGAATCTTGAATTTTGACCCAAAAGCATTGAAAACAAGAAACACTTGGCCATTCTCAAGGTCAGATAGGTACAACTAAGCAAATCTGCTCTTTGAAAAACAAAGGGGAAAAGAGGATACAGAATACCACATAGACCAAAGCGGAGCTATCTCCCATTTCTGTCGCTTGTGTGAGTGTGTGTATGTTTTTAATCAAGTTTACATAATGCTGTTTGCTTCCTCCAGAGCTTCAGAGGCTGACTGCGAAGTAGCTGGCAAGCCCAGGTCTCAGCACAGAGAACACAGGCAGGGTTAACCTGAGCTAATGGTGACTTTGGCTCCTCCCTCCTGTCTGGCAGTAATCTACAGTAAACAGTATGAAAGAGTCTCCAGGAAGTGGTTTAATACACAGCTACAAGGCCAAGAGACTGGAACAGGGCAATGAAGAATCATGGCGAAAGGGATAAAGGATAAGCTGCTGAGACAGGAATCCTTATTTTTACCACTTCTTAAATAAACAGAGCAGTTTTAAGAAATAAGACAAATGTCTCAATGATTCTTACCAAAATTTGTACATGTGAAATTTAAAACTTACAAAGATCGTTCTACTTTGGAATATTTTTAAGTAAAAAAATGTTGATCTGATGATAGTAGCCTGCAGAAAATACACAAATATCCTTCTCAACAGAAGAGGTTTTAAAGACAAGGAATTTACGGTTATTAAAGTAATAACCGTTGCTGTGATTATTAATTTGGGTTACAGTGTGGCAGAAAGCAGAATTTTCAATACATGGATGAGAAAAATATTTTATCTTCCTGGTGCTCTACAGACCTTTCAAAAAACAAAACCTGGCTGAAACTGCTAAGTCTTCATTTCCACACCCTCTATACAGGGTGCAGCCAGGAAAAAGGGCTGCTTCTGACTTGGACCAGGAAGCCAGACCAAAAAGGAGCTGGGGGAGAGCTGGCCTCTGACTGCTAAAAGCTGTGTACACTCCCATCTGCCACAACCTTTGTCCCTTTATTCTTTGTTGTCCAGATAAAAGTTCCAGCACCTCATGTTTAGGTTCTTCAGTAAGGACAAAATAATGGGTTGAGGATTTCAGCCTCTGCTTTTACAGCTTCTATCATTCAGATAAGTTAGAAACTCAGTTTCATTTCCTTAAAAGTACTATGATCGTCATCAGGGCTATGAAAATACCACACTTGGATAATCAACGAGCACTGTAGTAATTTTAAAGGTTAATGCTTCAATTTTTCTAATTTAAATACCACTGCTACTGTAGAAGCTAATGAATTTGGGGTTTTTACAGTGCTTAATTTGATTTTATTTTTGAAAAAATTTCATTGTACATTTATGTACTTTCAGAACACAATAAAGACAGATTTAATAGCTGAAAATACACAAATATCCTTCTCAATAGAAGAGGTTTTAGAGACAAGGAATTTAACTGCATGGTGTGCTAGCAAAATATTTAAGACCAATATAATCTACTCTGAAATGTCCTCAAAAATAAGACAGATAAATGAATCCCCGGAGTCACAGAGACAAAAAAAAAACAAACAAACAAAAAACACAATAAAAGGTCATAGCAGAGCCTGGTGAAGGATACATGAATGGCGACTAAAGTCCTCCCATATTGATGTCAGATGTTTTGTAAGAAAAACATTTTAAAAATACACAATTCAAAATGAACAGCAAGTTAAATCCTAAGAATTTAACACAAATTCATAACCAAACTTCTCCATTTTTTCATATTGATGGTGATGAAGTACAAAAATATTTCAAGAAAATTTCCTTGCCATTTTGATTTCATGAAATTTGCTAGAGATATAGAATCAGAAATTTTTCACAATACTCAATGGCCATAGAAATCACACTTGCACTTAAATAACTGATTTGATCATAATGTTGGGATTTTGCAAGACTCCTTTCCATAACAGAATGACCTCCATTACCATGTTCTGTTCACAACCTCTGTGCCCTGAGTTTCCTCAAAGCCCTGGCAAAAGCAAAAGATGTTTTCTAGTCAAATTAGCATTCTTAATCTATCAAAATTTAGAATATTCTATCATGACTCACACAAATCCACTCTGAACAGAGACAATTGTAACAGTATTTGTTGTTTTTCCTTCAAAAAAAAAAAAATTAGGGTCCTCCCTGATGGCACAATGGGTTAAATTGCAGCACTGTGAAGCTCTCCTCAGCCACTTCAGTGCAAGTTCGATTTCTGGCCAGGAAGGTGACCCACGTGGTATGCAGAACTCTCCAGGCCCACTCACTGCTCCCCTCAGCAGTATACTTTGTCGATCGGCCTGTTCTGTTCCCTGCTCTGTCTCTGGTGAATTCTCTCACCCTCCTGCACCTCGAACAGGTAAATTTACTGTCCTTTCCCTTGCCTCTTCTAAAAATGGCAAGAAAGGCAGGTGAAATGAACTATTGAAAGGGAAAAAAATTTCTAAAGACACTCCCAGTTACATAGAAATTCCTATGGAAATCCAATTCTTAGTGAAATTTTTGCCTTAATAATTTTCACACCAATGTTCTACTCTCTCCTATTCCCAACTGTCTCTTCATACACAAATAATAATATCCTGACAGTCAACCTGCAACTCACCTTCACGTCCCCCCCTCAGTGTGATGTCAGAGGAGCAGCTTGTGAATGACCTAGACCCCAAGGAATCCAGGCTTTCAAAGGAATCCTCTCTCTTATGGCCTCCTGGAGGACCTGTAAACTCTCCACGTTCAGTAGACCAAAAGTCACCGTAGCCACTATCCCTGCCACTTCTCTTCAGGCAACTGGAGTCTTCAAGTGCCTAAGGAAACATTTTTTAAAAGAACACATATATCAGCTTCCAAAAATGTAGTCACTCCTTGACTGTCTGCATAGCTCAAGCTGTGCTTCATCTGACAGGTGAGGCAGTGTGAATTCCCTGTCGCACAAAAGGCAAAATCCAGTAACAATCAGAAAATATATCTGTTTGCCCACAGATCTGCCACTTAGATAGCAACAAAAAGATATTTAATATCATTTAATAAAGTGGTATAGCCTATTTTAAAATGAGGGGAAATGGTTTAATAAAAGGAAAGCTAATAAATGGAATAATGTTTGATATTAAAAATCAATGATTATTTACAGAGCTCTGATAATAAATATGAAAGGAGTCTAAGAGAAACTCAACCGTAACTCCTTTGGAAGTCTAAATGAGTAAGTTTATGTTCAACCTACATCCCAGAAATTTGAAATGGTTTACATTAAAACAATTAAAGTTCCATAATAAAAACTTGTTAAAAGAGAAGAGTGAGGGGAGCATGTATATTTCACAGAATTCATTGACTTCTACTATAATTATAAAACCTAGATCTGAACCAAGTAAAGCAGATTGTTGGCATATAAAACATTTTCCTGGACCAAACTGTATTGTTTGGCTCAAGCAAAAAATAAATTGAAATTGACACAGGTTTCTCATAACTTTGATATAGGTTTATCAATCATAAAATATATTCAAATAAGTATTGTAATTTACATTTTTCTATGAAAATTAATAGCAAAATGCAACTGAATTTTTACAAATTAGAATTTAAATAAGATTTATAAAGACTTTAGCATCATCCTGACATAGTAATTAGTGAAGAGTTAGTATCTGTACAATTTTTCAGACTGCTGTGCGGTAATTTTGTCATTAACCAGGAACACTACTTTCAGATGAGTTTGATAATATTGGACGAGTTTGAAGAAACTATGAATTTGTAAACATCAAATATATGAACTTGATTAAATCACATTCAGACAAAAGGCTGTGAAAGATAGGAATCGACTGATAAGTTTTGAACTGGACAAGAGATTAGGTAATATGGGACTATCATGTATTTCCTTAAGTGCAATAATGTAGAAATATCCCACCCAGATAGCTACATCTCAGAGATGTGTGCACTGGGATGTGATATCTGAAATTTGCCATGACTAAATTTAAAAAAAAAAAAAGATGTTCCGATAAATAAAGTCAGTATAGGAGATTTTCAATAACTGAATTAAATGGTCCATAGTTGGGTAGTTTACTATTCTTCTAATTCTCGGCCTTTGAAAAAAGTTGAGAAAATATTTACAATCTCTTTAGAAGCTGTCTTGGGCATGATTTTTACTAAGACTGGATCTGTCAGTTCAAAGGTGAATTGTGTACAAGGGTTAGAAGTGCCCATAAAGTGCAGGAGATTGAGGGGAGCTGCATAAACTACAGTCACCAGGTGCTCTAGTATCAGACTTGACATCCGCCATGGAATGTGAGCCCCACTCCCTATTTCCTAGTGGGCGGGAAAGCTGAGACCAGCACTGTTACCACCGCAAATACTTCTTCAAAACTGAAAAAGATTAAGATTTTTTTTTTTAAGATTTATTTATTATGCTTACAGAAGTACAGGCCAGAGGTGTGGAGGGGTGAGAGCATTCACCAGTGACAGAGTGGGGAGCTGAACAGGCAGATCAACTGAAATACACTGCTGAGGGGAACAGCAGGCAGGTCAGGAGAGGTCTGCTGTGCCATGTGGGTTAGCTTCCTGACCGGGGAGTGAACTCATGCTGCAGTGGCTTCTGAGAGAGCTTCACAGTGCTGTGCTTTAACCTGCTGAGCCACCAGGGAGGGCCCAGATTAAAGCTTTTCAAGTCAATCTGTGGATCCATCAGCCTTCTAAGACATGTACTTGTCAGAGTTTTAGAGTTCCATAAACGGTGAGATGATTTTTGGCCTCTAATGTTCACAGCATTGCTGACCGGCCACCTCATATAAAGAAGTCCGAGTTTGTCTGGTGCTTGGTTGGTATTTTTATGACTTCACTCTGACAAGTCACCTAAAGTGAGTCACCTCCAACTCACAGGATGACTCAGGTACAACAGCATATCTCAAGTATTTCTCTAACTGATATTTTAAATTGGCCACTGAACTCTACCTAGTTAAAAAAGTGTAATGAGGCCCTCCCTGGTGGCACAGCGGGTTAAAGCACAGCACTAAGAAGCTAAAGCCACTTCCGCATGAGTTTGATCCCCACCTGCCCTGGAGGAGATCCACATGGTGTGGCAGACCTCTCCTGACCTGCCCGCTGCTCCCCTCAGCAGTGTACTTCGTCGATCTGCCTGTTCTGCTCCCCCACTCTGTCCCTGGTGAATTCTCTCACCCTCCGCATCTCTGGTCTGTACCCCAGTTCTGTATAAATAAATAAATAAATCTTTTTTTAAAATAGTGTAATGAACAAAATGATTTTTACTTTAGCAGAATAGATGGAAAAAATCAGAGCATGTATTAATACACCTCTTACAGCTAGCCCTACTCTGTAATACTGGGATGAAACCACAACTACAGTTGTATCAAAAATATTTTTACCTACTATGATTTTGACTCTTATGACAGGAAGAAACCTTCAGGAAAGCCTCCCAGCTCACGATTTGGGGATTATTTAGCGTGAGTCACGATACCATAAAAAGGACCAAAGGCAGGGAAGAGATTATGATAGAAGAGCCAAAGTCCCGCAGTTTTGCTTTTAAATGAATGATTTCTTAGCTGAAACAACCATAAGACAAGGCTCTGTTTGTGCCTGAAGGTTCCTGTAGGTTTTCCCACCAGAGCCTTACCCCCTCCCCTGTGACCTAGCCTTTCATGGTTCCCCGTCGGACAACTGAGGAAGCATCCTCTGCCTCGTATGTTTTCCCAACACCTTGCACGCTGCTTGTACACAATAATCTCAACTGAAACCTGACTCAAGGAATTCAGCAGAGTGCTATCATCTCTTCACCGTTCAAACATTTTTAAAAAGGAATATCTATATTTCCTAGGTTTTATTATGATCCCATCTTTCCATGGTGACTGTGGCTATGTTCAGGTAACACTATGTAAATATCAGGCTAGAAGTCAGTCCAGGCAATCATTTTCATCCAGACCTGAAATTTCTATCTTCCAATCATGATAAACAAACATTTATTACATCTCACAATGTGCAAAATATTAATTTAAATGCCTTACTGGTACATTACCACTTAACCAACATAAAAGCACATACAGCCACTACATTTAGTGGTGTTATATTATTTTGACTACATATTTTCTTCTAAGCACAGCCAATTCTCCTGAGTAAGTGTGCCCCATTTTGGGTCTTAAACATGAAGATTTGGCAGAACTGTGGTCACTGGCACTTAACTCTCCTCAAACAGTCCGTAAGCATAAAAAGCTACAATAAAGATTCTAGGATATGAAGGGCTAGAAATGTGTCTAAAACAAAAGATTCCGACTTTAAAACTCATCATACTTTAGCTACTGCATGGTTAGCTGTGCAAATGATGGCGCGTGAGCACTGGGCACACGGCCACAGTGACATGAAGAAATCGAGTCACTGCCACATGTTTTAATTGCTCTGAAGCAACTTGCTATGACAGGTTCAGTTCTTATGAATACAGAATGAGTGAAATTACAGAAAGCATCTAAAGAAAGAAGCAAATGAATATGTCACCGAGTTGCCTAAGATTAAGAGAGAACTCAACACCTACACCGCTATGCTAGACTGGAAACTTTCTGGAAACAGACTCACGCACTCCTTGGGGGCAGCACACAAAGTCAGCAAATGCTAACAGTCCTGTCTGCCAAGCCACATGTGGAATGGAGCAAAGGTTTTCAGAGTGGTGGTGCATGTTTCAGAAAAGTGGAAGAGGTAGGGAAAGAGGGAAGAGAAACAAGGAAGGGGTAGAAGGCAGAGGGATACTAGTTCCAGCAGTCGTCACTTCCAGAGGCAGCCTCCTTACCTTCGTCAGAGCTTGTCCTAGAAGATTCTCAAAGGCTTTCAAATTAAGACAGGGACCATGATAGTAGGGGTTGCTTTGTGCTTTCCTTCCCAGCCAGTACAATGTTATCAAAACCTTTAAAAGAAATCCATGATCAAGATCAGTGGCACAGTCAGATGCAAGTAAGCACACTAGATAAAAGGTGAACTGTTTGAAAAGTACATTTCCTCTTCAACTGTGTGAAGTGGAAGAGTCAAGAAAAAATGGTTTTCTTCTTGGATTTCCATCTCTGAGCTTTTTCTCAGACTGAAAGCTCAGGTCCCAAAGAGTAACTTTACAGCCCACTAAGACATACAAAAAGGGGGAAAAAAATTAAAGAAAAACATAAATTAAGCTTTTAATTAGGTAGAGTAAATCTTAAGATCTCTGAAGAAAAACTGTGGTTAGCTCTTTATGGCATATCAATCTATTAACGAGATTGATGATGCTGAATATTTCACAACATACACAATACAGCATCACTACCATTTCCCTCTTAAGCTATCATCGTTATGTAAATTATACTTCAAGTTAACCTTTTAAAGTAACATGTTTTCCAATATGTGGAATCCATATATTATACAAACATGAAGGATGATATAATGAATATATTTAAAAATTTAAAAACTTAGAGAATCACTGCTTAAGTTCATTCATTCCCATTTTCCCTAGTAAAGATATTTTGACTTCGTGTGTTTTTTTTAATAAAACAGTCACATTCTTCAAAATTCTTCCAACATATGCAAAATATTACAGTCATAAGTATATATTGAGTAATTACCCAGAATTCTTAAAGATTCAGTATTTTATTTTAAAGTCTGATTTGGAGGTTTTTTACTTACTCTTATAAAGATTTTAAAATTACATTCATTCATTTAACTACTAACATGTAAGGAACCACTCACAGTTTAACTGACACTACAATAAAAGTCAGAGAGTATATAGTGCTTTAACCATATTTAAAGTTAGTGATGATTTGATTTCTAGCAAAATTTATTCTTTTAAAAAAGAATAAAGTATATCAGATATTTTTAGTTCCCATTGCCTTATTATAGAATATGTTGAGGACAAAACCATTTGTAATGTTACATTAAATTTATCTTACATTTTTCACTCTCCGATCAGTCTCTTCTTGCCTGTTAAGATATTAAAAAAAAATCTATTAATATATATGAACTCTGAATTATTATCAGCTAGAAATTTTTTATTCTAAAGTTCTATGAATATTAAAACCACTTTGAACTTCAGAAATCTTTGTATATTACCCATCAGAAGAATTTTTCCATCTTCACTAATTTCATAAAATATAATGGCTAATTTTCTATAAAAAGATTGCCTTTTTATCATTACTTTAAGTGACTTTTGGATGCATTATCTGCATTTTGTATATCTTCATTTTAAACAAACTATAGACCTAATAAAAGGGGCAGAATGTGTGTTTCTGACAGAAATAAGGAAATGGTGGGGAGGGGGACTTTTGAAAAGCAGTTTTGTACTGATTTCCTGTTGTCCACATGGAACTCTTCACCCAGGGTCCCCAAAAATCTGCCCAGAAACTAGACCCCTACTGATGGTAAAACACACACTTTAAAAAGTAGCTGTGAATTACTGTCTTAAAAGACTTTACACTATCAAAAATAATGATGAGCCTCTTCCTGACCCATAAATGGGTCTAGTACTTATGGGAAAAAATTAAAAGGACACAGATATCACCCTAATATTGAAACAAACATGAGCTAATTAACAAGAGGTCGCCCTAAACAAGGGCATATTCCACCATTATTGACACTTCAGCAGGATCACTGATTCTGAATTCAGAGAGGCAGGAGCTTTAGTTAGGTGACCTCTAGGTGACTTTCCAATCTAAGAGTCATGTGTAATATGTGTGGAAGACAAAGTATACCTATGTGAACATGCTATGTATTTAAAACATACACACATGTGTAATGGAGCCAAGTGAAAGGGGAGAGAATGAGCACGCAGAGACAAGTATTTCATTTAGCCATGACAATAAAGCAAGCATGAACTAAGTTAAACTAAGAACAACATATACCATCTACTAACCCCAAAAGAGCACATCAAAAATAAAATCTGTATGCTCATCCATCACTGAAGAAATGTAAATCTGTCAAGTGAATTTAACTTTTAACCTATTTGGTAGTATCTATTCAATCTAAATAGACGCATATTCTATGATCCCATAAGTCCACATCTAGGTATATACCCAACAAAAATGTCCTCATGTGTTCAAGAGCCACATATGAGAATTTTATAGAAACCCATTCATAATAGGAAAGGCTAGAAGCTGCAAATAATATCTTTAAGAAGTAGAGTGGATAAACTATGAAATGTCCACAGAATGAAACATATATGGTAACAAGAACAGCCAATCCTCTACTGCAGATGACCATATAGTTCAGTCTCACAGCCGAAACTGGACACAGTCCAGACTGCGTTATTCATATCAAGTGCAGAAACAGGCAAAACAAAGATAGGATGTTAAAAGTCAGTATTACATTATGAGGGAGGAGGAAATGGCTGAGAAAAAGTGGGAGCCTTTTGGGTGCTGATAATAACTTATACTTTGATATGGAAGCTGACTAAGTGTAGTCTGTTTCTAAAATTTTGAATTGTACAGTTCTGTTTCCTTTTCTGTATCTGTATTATACTTCACAATAGAAAAGAAAATAATTTTCATAGCTGAAATGTTAACATCATAGTTTATACCCCCAGTAAAAAGAAAATCGTCTTGTGGGGGAAAAAATCCATTTTGGAAGTAGTAAATGAGGATGAAAATTAACAATGAAAAATAACACATAAAGCCTTTTTTAAGGTTATGTGGCTAATGAGCCATCTACACACCTCAGAGATTAAATTAGCCAAAGTGCCGACAACTATCAATACTAATTCACTCTAGTATCTACTAGACTTAAAAGCATGACATTATTAATATCCAATGCCAACATACCCCTTGTATTATAAGCCCATGAAAGCAGATACACAGAACTATCTTGAACTTATAACTTTTCCCACAACCCTACGAATGGTTCTCATCAAACATACTCATTTGCTATTTACTTTTTATGATGATAAAGTCATCATTGTAAACACATAGAATGGCCTGTTCTGCCATAAACACTTTCAGTAAGCAATAGCCTTAGCACTATAACCTTTCACTCTACATTCCATCTAAATATGAGCCTTATTATACACTCTTGAACACAATGATACATAGGTCAGCCAAATTATTGTCCTATCACTGAAATGTAATGCCAAGAATTCAAGTAGTTAATAATTTGCTGGAGTGAATAGAGTTCACTCTGACACACAACACACACATCCTAGAACATGGAAATAACCAGGTGACCACAGGGCACAAGCCTAATACCTTTTAAATAGAAAGGGCTTGAGGGTGAGGGGAAGCTTAGAATAACAGATTTTCCACAAGTCATTCAAGTTCCTATTCAACCCACCACAAACAGAACTAAGGCAGCAGTATCTACAAAGTTGGTTAAAATTTCTATAACAAATATTTTGAGAATTGACATGGTAGGTTATCATGTGTGAGAGCCTGGGCTTTAGATCACATATAAGTCCACATAAGCTCCTTACTCTCAAAGCTTCAGTTTCTATCTGGAAAACTAGAAAATGTCCCCTCAATTAGGTAGATTAGGAGGAAGGTATATAGTACATGTAGTACCTCGCTCTATGGTAAGTGTTCATCAAGAAACAATTATTCAAACTCAATAAAATTTCAGGGTAAATTGAATAAAAATTCACTGTATTTTTATATACTAACAATGAAGGATCAGAAAATAAATTAATAATTCCAGTTAAAATTATATAAAAAAGAATTAAGTACCTAATAATAAATTTAACCAAGAGACCTGTATACTGAAAATATGATACTGATGCAAGAAATTAAAGACAACAATGTAAAAAGATAGCCCATTCTCACAAAGTGGAAGGATACTATTTAAATGCCCACATTACCCAAAGAAGTCTACAGATTCAATGAAATCCCCATCAAAATTCCAATTATACTTTCCACAGAAATCAATCAATCCTAAAATGTGCACAGAACTGCAAATGATAGGTCTCAAATAACCCAAGCAAACTTGAGAAAGAACAAAAAGCTAGAAACATTCCGACTGCAAAACTACAACAATCAAAACAATATGGCACTAACATTAAAAAAAAATACATAGATCATATTAAAAGAAAATAAAGCATGTAAACTTGAAAATGGAAAAAAAAAAGACATAGACCTATGGGGAAAAAAAGAGAAACCAAAATTAAACCCAGTTATATATGGTCAATATTTTTAACAACAAAGAATGTGGGAAAATCTAATAAGGAAATGATAGTCTCTTAGTAAGCAGCGTTAGAACATGTCAATTAAATATATATATATATATTGTTATCTCTAGACGGTAAACTATGTGTGACCAGGTTCCATCTTATTCACAAATTACTCATAAAGATCTCTTATAAAGGCATATTGAAGCCAATATTTAAACCTGCATCCAGCCTACCTAACACTCCTCTCATGTCTGCTTTGTGTTTATAATCATTGACTACATACATTTATTTATTATCTCTCCTCCAGATTTCAAAAGAACTTGTGGTTATTTACTTCCATATCCCAACTGCCATAAGATAGGGCAAGCACATAAAAATATTTTATTAAAAGTGCCTAGCACAGTTCATGGTGCATAAATTCATTTGAATATTGTCTGAATATTTACTTAGGTTATAGAAATGTCAGTCATCAAGAAAAAATCTAAAATGATAAAAGCTCAGGAGCCTAACACTCATGATTTCAAAGAATGATTCATTTTCCTCCACTTATTTAAAACATACCCCATTTTGACTCAAATTATATCAATACTCCTGAGTTTCTTCAAGCTTTAACATCACACAGGGGATTGTTTACAATACAGCATAACTAAAAAAAGTCATAGATTCAAATACAGACCAACTTCCAAGTGCTGAGTACAAAGATTAAGAACTAGACAATGCAATGAAAAAGTTTCTCACAGAGCTCTGGAAAAGAAAACAAAAAGAAAAGACCAATGAATCCAAACCTGTCTTAA